GAAGAAGATGGACCTTTATTGATCCCCCAAGGGGGAAATTCAATTTCCACTCTGTTATACACGCACATGCTTTTTTAAATACAGATACATACAAGTACACACAGTTATGATTACAACATGCACATACATATACAAATACACACAGTTATATGCACACATGCACATGCATTGAGAGGTCAGAGCAGAGGCAGCCAGTCTAGCCGGCGCCAGTGAGCAGTTGGGGGTTAGGTGCCTTGCTCAAGGGCACTTCGGCAGTGGCCCAGGAGGTGAACTGGCCCCTCTCCAGTACCAGTCCACACTCCGTATTTTTTGGTCCGATCGGGACGTGAACCGGCGACCCTTCGGTCCAAAGTCCAACCCTCTTTTTTTTTTTTAACCTTTAATTATAACATTTGGCAAATTGACATTTTATTACATTTATTTACAAGAAAAGTGTTATTTTTGTCCAATTTGGGCCAATTTTATCTGGCTTGTGACTTAAAACATAAAAGTAATAATCCAAATATAATTCATCCTCAAAAAATGCTTTTAAACCAACAACAAAATATAACTGTTCACACTGATGTAAACAAGATTAACTAAAAAAACATTAATTGTCATCAACCAGCCTTTAACATTTCCTGTTCACAAAATTATATTTTATTTTGCCTTCGATTCAATGAGGGTGCTACCCTCCACAAAGTCCTCTGTGAATTTATCTTTCTTGTGGTATCCGTGTAAAATGTCAATGTCTCTTTTCATTGTCCGAACGAAAATGTTCCACGACTTTTCTGTCCTCATAATGGGCTACATTCCTTCTTATTTTAACAGCATGTCTCGCGTGCCTCAGCATAAATAAGAGATCAACATTGCAGTCCAACCCCCTACAGACTGAACCACTGCCGCCCCCAATATGATATGTTTTATAATTATTAATGCATTAAAGTTTTATAAATAATAAATTAATAAATTGCTCTTCTTGTCATTTCACAGTACAGGTACTATGTAACGAAATTGTTCCTCTGCATTTGACCCATCCTAGTGTTAGGAGCAGTGTGCTGCCGTGTCCGGCACCCGGGGAGCAGTGTGCTGCCGTGTCCGGCACCCGGGGAGCAGTGTAGGGAACGGTGCCTTGCTCAGGGACACCTCGGTAGCACTTGGTCTTGCCGGAACTCGAACTGGTGACCTTCCAGTTGCCAAGCCAAGTCCCTATCGACTTCGCCACCACCGCCCCATATCAAAGCTGGTAAAGGTGCAGCTATTTTTAATGACTTTGTATACTGCAGGGCAGCTTGTGAATTTATTCAAAGTAAAATACTCAAGTAAAGTGCAAGTACCTCTAAATTATACATAGGTACAGTACTTGGGTAAATGTACTAAGTTACTTCCCACCTGTGTAGTGGTTATAGGAGAGAAGAAACCGTGTTGACTATGTTGAGATTGGGGCACTGTTCACTAAACAATACATTCAGATTGATAGGAAAACACCAGACTGGATTGTGTGAGGAATGTCAAGAGGAGGAATCAGTAGAGCATGTAGAACTGAGATGCAGAATGTAACACATTTTAAGGGAGGTGTGTGGCGCAGTGGATAGAGCCTTGGTCACAGGTTCAAACCCCACTGCAGTCAGCATGTCGTTGTGTCCCTGGGCAAGACACTTCACCCCAAATTGCTCCTGTGGGGATTGTCCACAGGATTGAATATGTAACTCGCTTTGGATAAAAGCGTCTAACAAGTACATGTAATGTAAGGAGTTAGGAATACAGGATGTCAATTTAAAAGGAGTAGGCTACTCAGCATAAATTAGCGAGCACATTAGCACGCTGTTCTTGAGGTATTATTTGTATTATTATTATTATTATTATTATTTTAAAGGGATTTAGAATCTACACCTATGCATACTGTGTGATCCACACTCCGGAACAGTAGGGTGGCGGTAATGCACCATTAAAAGTCTCCTATCATGCAAAATGCACTTTTTGATGTCTTGTATACATAAACATGTGTCCCTGGTGTTGAAGGGAACACCCAATGTGTCAGAAAACAAAACCCTCTCTCTTTTCCTCCGTAAGGCAAGGCAAGGCAAGTTTATTTATATAGCACCTTTCAACACAAGGCAATTCAAAGTGCTTTACAAAAATGGAAGACATTAAGAAAATGGCATTTAAAATCAGTCATTAAAAAGAAAAGATAATAAAATAAACATTAAAAGAAAAAATACATGGATAAAAGTTACAGTGCAGTTTAAGATATGAATAGTTCAATTAAAAGCAGCGGCAAAAAGAAAGGTCTTCAGCCTGGATTTAAAAGTAGTTAAAAGTAGTTGCAGCGGACCGGCAGATTTCTGGGAGTTTGTTCCAGATATTTGGAGCATAATAACTGAACCCTGCTTCTCCATGTTTAGTTCTGACTCTGGGGACAGAAAGCTGACCAGTCCCTGAAGACCTGAGAGTTCTGGATGGTTCATAATTTACCCAAAACGCTGGTACAACGGGGCTGATCCAGATTTGCGTCTGATAT